TATGCCAAAGTTCACTTATAAAATTTTCAGCCTTAAACAATAACTGCTCCTATTTTTAAAAACTCAAACAAGAAACAGCAGTTTATTGAATTTAAATCCAAACTGAAACCAAACGGACTCTGAAAATTTTCATATTTTACCAACATGATCAAACACCTAAAATATGACTCCCAGTAAAATTTCAGAATTTTCTATGCAATATCCGATTTTTAAAAATTAAAACATCCTTTCTGCAGAATCGATAAATAAAATATTACCCATACCAATTCAACTCCAAAAATTCTGAAAATTTAACACAACACATATAGGTCACAGAGGCATGACATATTCGAATTTCAGCTCATTTCAGACAAGTATGAATTTATTATGCATTTAACAATTTTCTGGACAGAAAACAATTTAATTATTAAAAATAGCTACAGGTCTCCAAAAATTATGAAAATTTTACACAAGGCAGGAAACGAACAGATAACACATCTCACAAAATTTCACGTCGTTTCGAGTAGCGAGCTATTTTTAAAAATTCGAACATCAAAACAGCGACAATAAGGCTCGACAACTCGAAAATTAAATCACAACACACAAATTATCGTCCGAGGCCTTTCCATAAGACCAAGGGCTCGACATTGTTCCATTATCCACGGACCCACATGACTTTCGAGGTCTCGTTCAATTTTCGAGAAAATTGAAGAGATCCGAACACATACGATAACACATAAAATCATACTTCTCACGTAAAATCATAACGAACACATTAACGTATAATATTTATGTCACGCAAATCATACATATTCATAAATGACATAATCGATAAAAACGAGACGGGATCGAGCCTTTGTACCGTTCTCGGGAATCAAACGAAAAACGGACGAACACGAACGGGGCTCGACGGATTCTCGCGTCTCGCCGGAAAGAGAAGGGCCGTCGCACGGGAGGAGAAAGTTCGCTGCTGCTGATTCACGGGCTCGTCGGGAAGTCGCCGGACGTCGCTGCTCGGAGAATAATCGAGCTCGCCGGAAATCCACGAACAGCGATCGGGGAGCGGTCGGAGGGGGATGAACTCGCCGGTGACGTTGCTGTGGCGGACCGAGGAGATTTCGACGTCGAAGGCTCGCTGCTGGGGGTCGTCGTTTGCAGAGGAGGTCGCCTGGCGTTGCTGCTGGTCACGGCGGAGGGCCTGCGCGCGGTGCGAAGAGGATCAGCGATGGTGGCTTCTGCAACTCGCCGGACTGGTTCGGTCGCCGGAGAAAGCTCCAAGGATGATGACGACGAAGGTGATGCGAGATGATGGCGAGCAGCGAGGATGATGAGCGATGGTGACGAGGTTGATGATGGTGAAAGAAGGAGGTGATGACGATGAGGGATGATGACAACGGATGGTGAGGGACGATGGTGATGATGGTCGTTCGAAAAGAAAATCTCACGAGAAAACGATGGAGGCTGTGGGATTGTTTTGGCCAAAAACGATTGATATGTATATATATACATATATATACACGTATGTATTAGGTTTGGGAAAATAACAAAATTCCTTGTTGTCCAAGACAAGGACTACACGTGAAAAACAAAGAGGGGAAGAAAATCTGTCGGGCCGGGCCCGAGAAATTTGGGCCAATAAGATTTGGGCCGGTTGGGACAACAAAAAATTAGCTCACGGGCTCAAATAAAAATTTAACAGATATATTCAGGCCCGATTCGATTACAACAAAATTATCGGGCTCGATTCCGAAGGCAAACGCGCGATAAAAATAAATCGAAAAATATTAAATATACATATTTTACACATTATCACCTACACATTTATTCACATTAATAATTTAATAAATCACAAAAATCAATCTAAACAATTAGACAATCACAATTAGCACTTAATCACATTTGACAAATAATTAATTATATTGGCATTCAATAAAGTAAAATATAAATATAATTACCAATTAATAATAACAATAATAATAGCAAATAAAAATAATAAAAATAATAAAAATAAATCCCAAACAATCCACAAATAAACGGGGCATTACAATTTTAATTCGTCTTTTTCGTGTAGTAGGTGAATCGTTACCAAGCCATTACATCAGACCACCTGCGAGAATGCGAGAGTGCTGATCCTGATTTGGCGGCGCGTTTTGTAAATACGTTGGCCCTAGGTAAGGCGGATTGGACAGGGCACAACAATGATGTAATGAATGTTGTTTTTGGATTTTATTGGTAAACATAATTAATTTTTTTTTATTTTACTGTAATTCCATTTCGATGGTCGACGCTTGCTTTAGTTGTTTTATTATTTATTTTATTTGTTGTTAGTTCATTTTATTTCATCCATTTCCAAATGCTATACTACATTTTCAATTCAATCACAAACTTGCACGACTCGTGTTACTTAACCACACGAGTCGTGTGATGCCACACGACTCGTGTGACTGATCATGTGACGTCACACGACTCGTGTCACAAATCCACACGAGTCATGTCAAAATGCCGTAGCAAAAGTCTTAATATTACCAACATGACTCGTGTCACTCAACCATTGTCGTGTGAAGTCACACGAGTCGTGTGACAGATCGTGTGATGTCACACGAGTCGTATCACTAATCTACACGAGTCGTGTCACTAATCTTTGCAAGAGTCGATCCGTTTGTGTTCGATCATGTAAGCGTCGACCTCTTTACGAGCATCCACCCCGCGAGCTTCGACCAATCGTGCTGCCTGCTCGCACTTGACCCAGCGAGCGTCGACTAACTGAGCTTCCCACTTGCGTTGTCTATCCGTTGTCTGGTACCAGTGTTGCCGTTTGGCCTTGTGTATGCGCTCATGCTGCCATACGCATTGTCTTACCCATCGACTCGTGCACCATCCTACGTATTTGCGTGGTCTCGTCGGGTCTACAAGCCTCACGCAGCCAATTTCAGCCCCTTGTCCAGCCTTCTCAAGTCGTCCCGGCCCTCGACCACGTGCATTCTCGGAGGCCAAACTTTATTCTTCATCAGTTGCGCCTGACGTAAAGAGCAGTTGTTCCAGCTTTCTAGCACCCTTCATGGTGCGAAGGTGGTCACGCCGCGATTGAGGGACGTTACACAATTTAATCTGGACATTTTTATGCTCGTTTTGAATAAATAGTTATGGGGACTCGTGCTAGATGATAGAGAAATCTTGGAAAATGTGAAGAACAGTTTGAGNAAAAAAAAAAAAAAAAAAAAAAAAAAAAACACTCTTGTAAATATAGTTTGCAGGATCTTTCTCCGTCATTTTCGTATCACTCGTGTTTGAATCGTTAGCGCCGAATACATTGGGATTTAACTCTTATGATTCCTGAAACAATGGTAAGCTTTCATTTTTCAATTATTATTGTTATTCGATGTCGTGTTTCTTGTATTGTGTTAACGTTAATTTGAATTCAAACATGAGATAATTCATCCACCTAAGTTTGGAGATTTTGATTCTTATCTCGAATTGTGTTGAATGTGTGACTTTTTAACTTGTGCACATTGATTGAATAATAAAATTTGCCGATTGATTAACGTCTAGTTCGTTTAAATAATCTAAGAGCCATAATGGGCCAGATTGTTCGACCATGGCGTGCATATGGTAGATCATTCGTAAAAGTATTATTTATGTGTTATTTGATTTAACGAGCTTGTCGTTTATGTGTGTGCTCTTGTTAAGAATAGTTACTGAGCATAAACATCTAGGCGTGTAGGCTTGTTAAATCATGTAGCCGAACAAGTAAGCATTCAACATAGGTTTAGGACTTGATAAGATTTCGACGTTCTAGAACTTGTGCTACTTCTCTAGTTATTTTATTATTATTTAATTATTTTAGTAGATTTTAGACAATCTCTCCAACCCATTCGTGATTAGAATGTTTACCTTATTTTCATTTTGTGTTTGATTGACACCGAATCTTGATTTTGAACTGCTTTCCTTGAGTGATCGAGCCAAGGTTGAGATTCACCTGTACTCAATAAAAAATATAATTTGCTACAACATATAGTACTAAGGTATGAGTAAGAGAAGAGAATAAAATATTATTTATGATAATGTTTGAATATGTCCAATTTTCATATTTCTTGATTCTAAACACGAAGACTAAATAATTATTTTGTATGAGTGAAATAAACATATAAATCACATATTAAAGCATTATATGTGATAAATAAAAAGATAAATTAGTATCAATACTCAAAACTATTTTTATGCTGATCCATACACATTCTTAATTTATAAAGAAAATTCTGTATGCTTTTCTTTTTTTTTTAAAAAAAAAATCTGTATATTAAACTGTTTTTATTTATTAATTTATTTATTTTTTGGGTTAATGAATGGCTTTGGCATAACTCTCTTTGACCACTCGTTTTTTCAGCATTCATTTAGCCACGAGTGTGATTATATTATTTATAATTCCCAAATTTCATCAACTTGTGAGAACAGTTATCGCAGTCCGTGTCCGCCGGGTCAACACCTCCGACGTCGTTTCAGTACGTCGAACGATCGGAAGGCGAGAATACTAGGTTTTCCAGACGTCGGTCGGAGCACCGCATCCAATTATGGGACCCGAATAGTAAATCTATCATCTCTATTTTTGTGGATTCCAAGTAATCGAAATGATGATATATGTTTTTCTTTTGTGAAATTTGTTCTTTTGCGATCTTATTTGATAGATCCATAGCTGTTGATTGACGGTATGAATTTCTCTTGGATTTGCTCCTGCTGGCTGTTGCGATGCTATCAGATCCATGATACTTTGCGCTTACCTAGTTCTATGTCGAGTGACTGCAGATTTCATTTTGGTGCAACACTTATTAATATTTACTATAATACTCGATTATCCATGTATTTGTTTTGTGTGTTCTTTTTGGTGCGAAGTTGAAATGTCGCGCGTTTATTTTTCTTTGTTTGGTGAAGATGATAAGCTTGTAGTTCTTTTTTGGTTAGACGGTTCTCTAGTGAAATTTAATTCATTTATGTGAATCGTTTATTTTTGAAAAGCATGTAGGGGAATGGTCAGATCACATAATGTATTCTACGTAAAGGAGACGGGGCTACAGAATTTGGTTTATTCAGGGATTATAAGTCTTGAGATTAATGCTCAGTTAATTGCCCAGTGAACCACAGTTCTCTTTTCTGATGTTGGTGATCTTATGTTTAAATGTAGTTTTATATGACTATCTCGGCGAGAGGTAATTGTAAACCTCTTTTTTCATTATGGATTAATAATGTCTTTTTCAAATAAATCAACTATCTGCCTCAATATGTGTATATCTATAGTGGTTTAGAACACTGGGATAGTTTTTATATTCAGCAGTGCCATTGTCGTGCATTTTACATATCTTTGTTTTAGAATCTCATTTCTGATTTTTGTTGTGTTTTGCAGTGACTACTTGTTCAAACTGCTTTTAATTGGAGACTCTGGAGTTGGCAAGTCATGTCTTCTTTTGAGATTTGCTGTAAGACCCTTGATTTTTTCTTTAATTTGCTTGGCGAGATAAATTTAATAATGAACATTGGTAGTTTTAAGTATAATGTTTTATATTTTGGTGATTCTTGTGAAGACAGTTCCATATAGCATTATTGTATTAATCTTTATCTTTATTTGTTTGCCGAAATGCTGCATATCTCAGTTGCTTTCTTCTTATATTATTTTGGTTATGTCTGTTATTTAATAATGTGAAAAACAACAGAACAATTGGATTATTCTTATGATAAACATCTTTTAGAACTGTGGTATTAAACCTCTTGAGAACAGAGTGTGAGAGTGCATGTTTAGTTCTTAGTTCTTAAACTATTTAACTAAGCAATCACCTTTGACATGTTAAGTTTTTGTTTCTTGAATGTGGGGGTAGTGATAAGCTTTTCTCTTCCACGCAGGATGACTCGTACCTTGACAGTTACATCAGCACAATTGGTGTAGACTTTGTAAGACTTTCAATATTGAGGCTTGACTGTTAGATGCCACAAGTACGATCATGATCAGTTTTTGAACGTTTTATTATTTACTTATTATTACAGAAAATTCGAACCGTGGAGCAAGACGGAAAGACTATCAAACTTCAGATTGTAAGTTTGTTTGTCTTGATTCTACAGTAGTGATTTGAAAATGGTTCTGAAAGTTGCCTGTCAACTATGTATGATCATTAAGCTAGTCAAAACTTTCATGTATGCTGATATTCAAATTTTGTGAACTTAGCCCTTTGTTTCGTTACTGATGATAAGTTATCATCCATCACTGATGCTAGTGTCCTGGAATTAAGTTATCACCAATCTTTTCCATTGCTTAGAATATTTGGGATAAACTTGTGTTGGTATTTAAATTGAGTGGGGATACTTTAGAAAACAAACTGTTCTTTATTTTACAAGTGAAAGTGTTTCGAGAATTATTTTTTATGCAAATAAGTTCTGTGAGCGCATTTTTGATGTAACTGACATAATAAAATGATCTTTAGCCACATTTATGTGGTATATTAATATATTTAATAGTGCTCTACTCTTACCAATCCAAGTTGGGTTTGAGGATTTGACCTCAAGTCTTACTCCGATAATGTTGGGATTCGCCCATTTCTTTTTCAAATGAAAAACTAATGTTATGCTTGTTTAATTTTTTTATATAAATATTATTTTTCTTTTAGTATAATTATTAATATAAAAAATAAAGAAATTGTATTAAGTTAATGCTCGTTTATTCTTAGTAATGTTCATGAGCAAGCTTATTTTACTCTGATTATTAATGAGCCTAAATTTTCTTTGGACGTTAGCTTGATTAACTAAAGAATTAGCCTTATTCGAGATTGAATGAGCTCGTCTGCATATGTTCAGTTCGTTTACAGCTATACTGTTACAGCACTTTTGGCTTATTGTTGTTATTATTATTTTGTACGCATTCTTTCATTATCTGCAAGAATTTTTTTCTAATAGTTTTTAAGGTCTGCGTACAACTGACTCCCCAGACCCCAACCTGTTGGGAATATACTGGGTATGTTGTTGTTGTTGTTGTTGGAGAGTTATGAAATGACTGTCGTTAGATATGGTTCTTTTGTGCTTCCAGTTGCATTCCTTTAACCTTATTCATTAAAATGATTATCTTCTACATTTCATACTACCTTAATGATAGTGCTCCAACCACTACCACAGTAAAAAGAAATAAAAAGGATAAAAAGGTTAAAAATGTCATGAGCTTCTTGTCAAGCTCCCTTTACAATAAATACATTTTATTCTCGATCTGTACAGTGGGATACTGCTGGACAAGAACGATTCAGAACTATAACTAGTAGCTACTACCGTGGAGCTCATGGTATTATAGTAAGTCATATTTGAGTTTTTTCTTGCATTATTTGAAATCCTTGTTGCCCTTACCTTCCATTTGAAGTTTAGCATTTGTTATTTAAATATATCCTCAACCATGCTTGCATTCCTTGGGCAGATAGTGTACGATGTAACAGACCAGGAGAGCTTTAACAATGTAAAGCAATGGCTGAATGAGATTGATCGATATGCTAGTGAAAATGTAAACAAGCTTCTCGTAGGAAACAAGTGTGATCTTGCTGATAACAGAGCTGTGTCGTATGATACAGCAAAGGTAGATTTTTTTTTTTTTTTCTTTTACTTCTCTCTGGGCTGTGTATATAATTGTTTCCAAGGTAATAGTATTAATGAACTTTTTTGCCTGATGAAAAAGGCCTTTGCGGATGAAATTGGCATCCCATTTATGGAGACAAGTGCAAAGAATGCCACCAATGTTGAACAGGCTTTTATGGCTATGGCTGCTGACATCAAAAACAGGTTAGCTTTATGCTGCTATGGTTTTTTTTTTTTTTTTTTTTTTTTTTTGCTAAACTAGAGTTGANAATAAATAAACTGAACTTTTCTTTCACCCTTGAAGATCAGCTTAGCTCATGTTTCTAAATGACAAATTGACCCTCAAGAGAGGGTAACGTGTGATGCTCCTGGAATATTCACAAGGCTAATTGTATTTGTTATTTGCATCTGTGCTCTTTATACCTTTTTATTAATAACTAAAGGCAAATCAAGGGAAAAGTTCTGTAAAAAATCTTGTATTGGAAGTTGCAATTTTTACTAATGTTTACTTACCATTTCTTGTGATTCTCGTCCAATATTAGGATGGCTAGCCAGCCTGCATTGAACAACACGAGGCCACCTACTGTGCAGATTCGAGGACAGCCTGTGGCCCAGAAGAGTGGATGCTGCTCTTCTTAATGCTGTGAAATCGTAGCTCTAATTTTCATTTTTCTGTTGGCCAAATCTTTCCACCACATGATGAAAAGCTGCTATGTATTTTATTTTATTTTTCTTATATGAATTAGTTCGATTCTTTGGAAATTATCCTAAATGTCCCGCAAACTACAGACTACAGAGGACCTCTTATAGTAATTTTTTTGTTTGTTTTGGTTTTTAATTCCTTCGTCCTGCCCACAGCCACAGGTAGCAAAAACTCCAGTGCTGTTGCACGGCATTTGAAGCTTATACGTGCTGCGTTGGAAAAATTATGTATTACATTATTCTTATGGTGGTTTTCTTTTTCTTTCTTTTCTTCTTTTGTTTTTTAGAAAAAGCTTGTCCGTTGAATTTGATTCCATTTGGATATAAATCATAGCTAGAAAAATTCAATCACAACTAAAATTTAATTTGAATTTATGTCAATCTCAATTCTCTTTAATATTATCAATATAATTAAATAATACCAATCATTTATTATCAAATAGTAGATAAATTTTAATTTATTATTTATTTATTCGCATATCTCTTATTTTTACATCAAATCAACTTTAATTATTTTATTTTAAATATTATTTAATACAAACTCTGAATTTTACTTAAACCTAATCTAATAATTTTTTTTTTAAAAAAAATAACTAAGAAACTTTAATTATTTTATTTTAAATTTTATTTTGATAAATTCAAAATTCCATTCAAATCTAACCCAAATATTTTTTTTAATTAATTATCGTTAACAAAAGAAAGAAAAAGTGAAAACCAATCAAGATTTATATCATGTGAGACCCTCAGGGCGTGATTGTTTATAAGTTGTACAGTAAAAATCTCACTCAAAACTCAAATTTAACTCAACTTTAACTCAACTCCACTATCTTCAATATTATCAATATAATTAAATAATATCAGACAATTATTATTACACATCACATCAACTTTAATTTACTATTCACTCACTCACATAATTTTAACTAACCATCACTTCCAATCATTTTCTCCTACTTTTACATCAAATCAACTTAATTATTTTAATTTAAATATTATTTTAATATATCCACTAACAACTAACCATATTACTTTTTTTCAAACTTAACTATAGTTAAAAAAAAACTAGTTTTTTACTAGTTGAATTCATATCCAATCACCCCCTCAAGATTTATATCATGTCACACCCTAATAGATTGTTAGGCTTATGGTATATCATGTCACACCCTAATAGATTATTATTATTATTATTATTATTATTATTATTATTATNTAAATGGAATGTACATGGGTATAACCCGAATCTGCACCAACTGAGAGGCCAAGTACTAACAGTATTGTCTAATCGAGACTGCAAATTACAAATAACAAAACACACAAAGAAACCAAACAGCCATGCCCTAAACAAACTACAACAAGCCAAGATAATGATCACAAATATATAAAGAGTGACACACCACTGACTCGAGACCTAGTGCATTCTCTTCTACATTTGTTAATGCTTCAACCTGCTGTGAGAGAAATCAAGCCAGTCCTGCATTGCTGTTCTAACAATCCATATCTCAGACTGCTATTGCTTCTCAAAAACCCAAAGATTTATAGCACGCCACAGCCACCAAAGTATATAAGTAGACAGTTGGATTCTATCTTCAGAAATATCCTAATTCTTCATGGTGCTAATCCACCACCACCATTCCTTAAAGTTCATTTGCTCTTGAGAAAACTTCCAAGTGTTTTGAGCCCTAATGCACTGGAACAAAACATGTTCCCTGAGTCTCATCTGCTTCCCCACAAACTTTTCACACACTCTCAATCTGCATACCCCTACTAATAATGTTGCAGGTCACAGGCAGGATATTAGAAAAGCACCTCCATATAGAATGCTTGATCTTGCTAATGACTTTTAGTTGCCAGCATCTGAGTCTTTCCCTTCAGTTTCCCCTGCAATCACACTATTCTCAGACTGATTCTTTCTACAGATCTTTTCTTTCACCAACATAGATTATGAATCTTTCACAAAGAAAGAGCCCTTAGACAGGAATGAGCATCCCCATATATCTGAAGCTCTAGGGTTCAAAGATTTTATCTGTAAGATTTTGACTGCAGGTTCTTCTTCAAACAGAGTTTTGACAATAGCTTCATCCCAACCACAACCTCCTGCAACCAAAAGATCTTTTACACAGAACAGGTGTCCATCAATTTGCACTCTTAGCTGTGGTTTGCCTCCCTGAATCCCAAGAACCCAGTTATAATTATTGATCTTTGTATTTGCTCCATTTCTAATAATAATGCTGAGATAATTCTTCAGAATAGGAATAAAAGAAGCCCATGAATTTCAGAGCTAAGAAGCTCCACTAACTTTGTTATAGTCAAAGATTGAATGAGTGGGAAAATACTTACACTTCAGCACTTTGCTTACTAGGAGGTCTGGTTTTGCAATGACTCTCCACAACTGCTTTAGGATAAGAGCTATGTTGAACAATCTGATGTCTTGAAATCCAATACCACCCTCCTGCTTAGGTATAGCAAGATTATCCCAAGCCATCCAGTACATCCTTAGGCTTTTCACATCCCCTTTACACCACCAAAACCGGGCCACCAATTTGCAAATTTCCTTACACAAACCCTGAGGCAGCACAAAATAAAACATCACAAATATTGGTAAAGCATTCAATAGAAATTTCACAAGAACTTCTCTACCAGCTGTAGATAGAAAGTTGTTCTTCCAGCTCTCAATTCTGTCTTTAATAGCTGCAACCACAAATTGAAAAGCATCTGTTTTTTAAGCCCCAATTCACAGGGGTAACCCTAGGTAACTCGAGGACCTTTTGATTACCACCCCTCTGAGGACAACACATTTAGGATTTCAGGGAATCACTGCAGTTTGAGCTAATGAACATGGAGGACTTATTCAGATTCACCTTCTGACCTGCAAATTTTTTATTCTTCTCAAGAATCTCCAATAGCAGCAGAGCATGCTTTACATCTGCCTTGCAAAATACCAAGGCATAATCCGCAAATAAAAGATGAGACAATATAGGCCCTTGTTTAGAAAGTTTTATTCCTTAAAACTGACCAGCAACCACCTTATATGTAACGCCCCGTTCGAATATTAGATTTTTCCGAGTTTATTTTAATTAATGGCATTTTATTTTATTATTTATATGCCTTGATTATGTGATTATATATTATATTATTATGTGGATAATATGATTATAATGCTCGATTGATTTTATTTTATCGATCGTTGTTTGAATTTTCGGTTTCATTGCGTAAGCCGAATTGTTGTCCGTTGTAATTCATTTTCGAACCGTTGCGACCCAAACTTTGAACCAATTCAACCAGCCCCTTTAATACCATTATAATTTCAACTCTTTCATAGTATTTTTTTCAGCCATCAAAATCAACCAAAAGAGTTAAAAATTGAATTTTAGTCAAATTCTTCAATTTTCGGTTATAGTCAGATTTTAAGTCCGATTTCGATTCCGTAAAATTTATTTTTCATCTCATCTTCTTAGTAGACATCAAGACCAATATTAGCATAATTTTACAAAGCTAAGAAACTCAAATTTTCGAATTTGTAGAGAAGAAGGAGGAAATATCACTTAAGAATCATAATAACATGTTATTTTGTCATCATTAGTGAGCACATGACCGAGTTTTTCCTCCCCTCTTCCCCTGAGTTGACTTCCTTAGCATATGCCAAGACAAACTCTAGCAAGATGCCATCCAACAAACTCACATGGCTGAATGTGGGAGGAAATTTGGATGTACATGAGACACATCTTAGGTGTAGATGGGATCAAGATACCATCATCATGCAATTTAAAAAAAGTCTTGTCCCCCTCTTTTCATAAGAGTTTACACCCACTTATGTACCATCACTTATGTCCTCATCCTCAGCTGAGATAGCTCATTTTTGTCCTTACCAAAATTGCCCAAAGTCCTCCCTAAACTCTCCATCAAAAACCAAAAGTCGAGAGCATCTACATATTATTTCGGAGAGATCCTTGTGTGAGTGTCTTGTGTTTGCTGAGTTCTAGCAAGCTATACTTCTATTTACCAGCAAGGTTACCTTCCTATCTTATCCTCCATTCATCCTAGAAGGCTTTAGCACCACCAAGTTCGAGGAACCAAGGCAAAGGGTCGCAACTACAACAAGTTTAAGCACATACCGAGAACATCGGACAACATCATATTCTTTATCTCATTTTCGTGCTCTTTGAAGAAGGTAAGGTTCTACCTTTTTAGCATGCTTAGTAGATGAAATTAAGTGTTTAATGATGTTTTTATATTCCTTATATATTCAGTTTTCAAGTGATTATAAGCATGCTATAAGTAAGAACTATTTCCAGCTTGCATGTATGTTCTATGTTCTCTGTTTTTGATGTGATTTTACCTAATTATGTAAAACCTGGGAAAGTACGCTTTATATAGATATTTCTTGAGTAAATGAGGAGTACATAGAACAAGAATCAAGTCATTTGGCCTATTATAACTCGAGATATAGATTTTTAAAATTTATCATGCAAACTGAATTTTATGAGCCTGTTTACAGTAGCAACTTTAAACTTGAATAATTCGATATATACGCATGATAAAATTATGAAATTTTTATGACATGTCCAAATATGTGTTTAGAGTATGCCTGCCAAAGTTCATGATTTTAGGTTGAGAAATAAATGAGTTAAAATGTTTAGACTGCATGCATATCAAGATGATTTTATATGCAAGAATACTCAGTCCACGTTCGAGCTTGTAACGTGAAAATTGTATGAAAAATTCTCATATGCGTGATGAACAATTTGACCAATACGATTTTATAAAATTGTTTGAAGTCTCGCTTGCAAATAGAATAATTTCGTGTTATGATTAGTACATGAGTTGAATGGGCAGATTATATGTATTGAATGTTTGATATTTAAACTCGGTGTTATTGTCATTCTTTGCCAAAGTGGTCTTCAGCAAAGTTGTAGATTATGATGTTATCTTTCCAGTGCTTTTTGATCAAATAGAAATCATGCCTGTAGCTTATAATATCCTCGAATTACTGAGTCCCTGTAAGTTAGATTTTTCTGTTGTGGATTGCGGCCATGATTTGAATGTTTGCTGCAAAATATGTGATCAAATAACATTGGTTGTTGTAGCTGTATTCATGAAAGTTGTAGCCTTACTTCTTAGCTGTCTGTTGGTTTTTGAATCATGTCATTTGGGTGTCTGTAGCATGAACTATACGATAATTACTGAGTCTCTGTATGAATAATATTTCAGTTTTCTGACTGCAACTCTGTTATAAATTTTTGTTGAATTATCTCTTGGTAAATGACCTTATCTGTTATCCATGTCTTCATAAGAGTTGTAGCTGTGCGTCTTAGGATTCATATGCAACTGGAATCACATTTATATGACTTATGTGCTGAATTATACTTATTTTACAATTTCTGCACGGGTTAAGTTTTGAAAAACTTATGTTGTGCTTTCAAAAAATAGAATTACTTGTTAAATGCATGCTTATATGACTTATATGGGCTGAATTGAACTAAGTGAATGTTGTTGTATGTGTATTCATGTATAAGATAGTTATTTATAGGGCTATCTTGATAAATGTAGGTTCGACGAGCTGAATCCTCGACCTAATTACTTGCCTTGTGTGAATCTACCACTTCGGTAACCAGGTGGGTTTATTTAAAATGCTATCCCACAAATTTATTTATGACTGTTGCATGGTATGATCACTGTATGCATGTGAATTATGTAGCCTTCGTGTGAGTTGTATCGGCCGTCGAACGGTTATCCCCGTAGCTATAGAACGGACCCCGTGGGGGTAATCTCCTCTTTTCGTCCTGAGCGACGGACGCATCGCTTGTAAGACCAGGGCAGAGCTCGGCCGATGATAAGTACCCCATTGTAAGACCAGGGTAGAGCTCGGCCGTCGGGGGAGACTCCTATTGTTAGGACAGTATCATAAGGCCTAAGCAGACATACGGTACGTGGATCAGCAGTAGTCTATGCGTAGGTGTGCACATGAGAATGAACTTTGGATATGAGATGAGATAGTTTATTGATTCGTATACATGTTGTGACCATACCTGATATATAGTACGTGATAGTTATGTGCATAGTGGTGAGAACCACGGACATATGTGCTCACCCCCACTTTTTCTTCACAGATGCAGGTTAAGCAAGTGCGGACACGGCGGAGTGGAGCGAGTGGTGGTCGGTCTATATGACCAGATCATTGATTAGTTGCTTCCGCTATTTTGAACTTATTTATGAATTTATGAACTTGGGATATTATGAACTCGGGAATTTATGAACTTGAGAATTTCATGATGATTTGAGACAATGATGGGGGAGATGCCCCTTTGACAATGAGATGAATTTATGAAACCCGGTTGGGGTGATTGATGACTTGTGATGAAACCCGTTTTGGGAGTTGATATTATTGATATGAATGTTGATGTTGATTTTAAATGAGTAACGCCGCAAATGGTTGAAATGAATTTTGAAAAAAATAAATTAATTAAACTGATTTTTTCTGAAAAACTCAAGGATTTTCGTTAAATCAAAGTGGGGCGTTACAATATGGTATCAGAGCAGGTCTACGTTTTTGTAGACTGCTATATATGAATTATGTGAACTCTGTGAGATAATTGGATTATATGCTCTAGTTATGACCACTAGCTTCCGTCGTGCCGCGCCAAATCAGGTATGATTTCATAAGTAATTTTGAATTTCTTATGTATTGGCTGATATATATGATGTAAATATGGGGCTTAGCAATTTATCTTCCTGCTTTTAACATTTTTGAACTCTACATGAGTTGCGAACGTTAGTGGTATGAACTTAAAATCTAGTGGTATAGAGTTAAGTTCTTGCTTTAGAATTTATTGGTTGAGAATTCGATATGATGTTATCGAGTTAAATTCTATCTATAGCAATTCTCTCGCTATAAGTTTCTGTTTAGTTTCTTCGTGTGAGGAGCATTCGCAAGCCGTCTCAAAAAGAGAAGGCTTAAGTGAAGGGAGCAGACAACCGAAGAAGTCCCAGGTGTGTGGGTTATTTGGAAGTCTGTAACCATTGTCAATAGGACCATCAGATGTGTATTAGAACCCAAAGAATGCGAACTAGGAGAAGAGTCTAGGTGCCTTATCCGTGCTGTTGTTCGACCCCTGAGCAGTGGTGGGGAAACTTAATACGTAACACTGTCACGACTCTCGAGGATGGCTAAGCCTCGAGAAAGGCGATAGTTGTCTATTCTTTTACGAAAATTCTCAAATGAAGGAATCCGACTTTGTTCTTAGGGCGGATTGGTCGATCCGACACCCCGTAAATATTCTATGCCATGACTGCGAGGTGACACTTCAAACTTGAAGGAGACGACAAAATTATCTTTCATGTGAAGAGTCGAGAGAGATCGTCTAGCGGCAATGGGACTAATCAGGGTCGGCTTGAACCGATGATGGAAGCTGATATGGGATATTATATACTTAGAGAATATTCCGGTTCGCGGGGCCGACCGTACTAGCCTAATATCGGAAGAACTACGTTGGTCGAACAGTAATAGGATAGAAAAAAGTGGTCGAGCATGATAGCAGATTGGATCGATGATCGACCTAATGAATGGGAGCTCGATCAGATCGAGCATTCGGTGAGTGAAGAGCAATCAGGGGCGTGGTTGGAACGCGAGGAGGCGCGTGGCTCTCGCCAGGAAATCTCAAAAGAATATTCAAGGGAATAATTACCCCTGCGCAGTGGGGCACGTGGCAAGAGCGTATTGGTGCAGAGAGATAGTGGCGATAACCACCTCTGACACACATACACACTGTGTGTGTACGGACGGGCAGCGCGGGTAGGACAGCTCACCAGATCCGGGCAGCTCCTAGGGCAGGTATCTCACTCCTATATATATAGGAGTGAGCCTTTCTTGCTACTTACGATTTATCCATACTTTACTTTGGAGAATTGAGTAAAACATATACTTACTTACGCATCGAAGGCTCTTCACCGGAAAAAACCCCCAGTGTGAGAGTTCTTTGCAGGTACGCGACGTTCTACAGGCTAGGAGGAGGAAGACGAGCCGATTTCAAGCCGGCCGGAGTGTTTTGCGTTACTATTTGGCGCCATCTGTGGGACTTTCATTCGAAAAGTGGTGTGCTGAGATTACTGAAGCTTGGTAGCTATGGCGGACGGAATTCCTAGGAGAGATTTGCAAGCGTCGTTCGACGAAGCGTGGACGATGACGAGGCCGTTTGGAGAAGGCCCTCCTCTGGGTTTCTCTGGACCCTCGCGTACACCGGTGACTCCGACGCCTGTTCCGCAAGGTGTGGGGGTCGCGCCGGTGCATCCTGCAGCTGATGTGGGTTTATGCCAAGCTCAGGAGGCCCGTACGACTCAGAAAACGGTGATCCCAACGCCGTTGCAGCCAGATCTGACCGTGGCGCTGCAGCAAGGAGCGGTGGTGCAGGGAGCAGCACAACCGTGGGTGGAGGAGCAGCGCCTCGGCCAGCAGGTGGTGATGACTAGGCATGAGATGCAGCAGATGATGGCGAACGCGGCGGCACAAGCGGTCCAACAGGTCACCCAAAGCCTTTCTCGAGTGGCTGCTGGGCCGACGATCGTGAAGGAAGATTTGTCTAGCTATGGAGGAGATGGAGCTCCATGAGATCGGGAGGTGGAGAGGCTCGCGGAGCAGGTGAGACAGATACAGGCCAAGATGGATGGTCGACCTGAGAGACGTGCTAGAGAACACCCGTTCTCGAGGGAAATATTGGTTGCACCGTTACCAGCGAATTTCAGGGACATGAGCTTGGTGTTCGATGGGACTTCTGACCCATCGAGACATGTAAGGGCGTTTGAGAACTTGGCTGTGTTACATGGTTATTCTGATTCTGTTAGTTGCAGGGCATTTTTTTCGACCTTGAGAGGAGGTGCGCTCGACTGGTTTCAGCAGCTCCCTCATGGATCGATCAAGGATTTCGACGATTTCGCGAAAAAGCTGATGACCCAATATGCGAGCGCTGTGGCGCAGGAGAAGACATATTTGACTTTGATGGCCATGAGGCAGGGGGAGAAGGAGTCGTTGCGCAAGTACGTGGCTCGATATAATTAAACTTGTTTGGAGATCCCCACGGCTGCTGACGAGGTGAAGGCTGGAGGGTTGATAAGGAGTTCACGAGCAGGGCCTTGTCGAACATCCCTGGCCAAAACCCCTGCTCGTACATATGACGATGTGTTGAAGAGGTGCAAGAAGTATATTAATCTGGAGGAAACGGAGGCGGAGTTTGCTAAGTTGGAGAAGTTGGCTAAGCCAGAGCCTAAGAAGGAGAGAGCGAACTCTCCTAGGAGGGTGTCGCCAAGGAAGAGATCGCCCAAGAGGGAAGGGTGGAGCAGGATGGATTGAGGACGGGAAGATAGGTGGAAGGATCGACCAGTATTTGGAAGAAAGCGGTTCTGTAACTTTACACCGTTGAACGCAAAAATGGGAGAAGTGTTGGTGTCCATTGAAAAGAAGATAGATGATAAAGACGTGACGTGGCCTAGGTCGAGGCATGAAGGGCCGACACAACCCAGGTCGAAGAGGTACTGCCATTTTCATAAGAATTGCGGGCATACGACGGAGAAGTGCAGGCACCTCAAAGATGAGATCGAGCACCTCATTAGGACGGGCCATCTCAAGGAGTTTGTCTATGAGGACAAGGTGAAGGGAAGAGAAAAGAGGAAATGTCGAGAGGATTCGCTGGAGAGAAGTGATCGAGATGATGATGAGGAAGATGAGCCTCGAGGAGGAAGAGGTGATCGAGGAGGTACTGGGGGTAAAAGGAGACGAGGGAGCAGAGATCGAGGAGGTCAGGAGGATCAGGGTCCAGCGAAGAGAGGGACGATATATATGATTTTAGGAGGGCCAACTGATGGAGACTCGAATAATGCAAGGAAGGGGCATGTTCAAGCAATAAAGAGAAAGAGAGAGGAGGTGGAGATTACTGCTCGAATGCCGGAAATAAGCTTTCGGGCAGAGGATGCTAAAGGAGTGATGTTGCCCCACAATGACGCGTTGGTGATTACGACGGAGGTGGCAGGCTTTGATGTGAAGGGGGTGTTCATTGATACCGGGAGTTCGGTGGATGTAATGTTTTATGATTGTTTTGTGCAGACAAACAAAGAGCTCAATCTCGAGCTGAAGCCGGTGACCACAGCCTTGTACGGGTTCAATGGAGGTGAAGTGATGCCAATGGGAGAGGTGAGTTTATCTGTCGCATTGGGGAAGGGAGCAACAAGGTGAGTTGTAGGTAAGATAACTAGTAAAAGATGAAAAAGGAAAATAACAAAAAATGTGTGAAAAGAGAGAAATAAAAATAATAAAAAATTAAGGATGATAGCAGTGGAGAGAGAGAGAGAAACAATAAAATAATAAAAATATGTAGTTGTTAGTGGGATGATGTCACAAATCAATTTATTTGTGATTTATTTTAATAGGAGGGATTTAAATGAAAATTGAATATGTAGATAAATTGTGAAATAGAAAAAAATTATACTTAGAGACTGACATGAAAGATGAATAAAGAATTAAGAATTTTTAAAGAAAGCTCCCATAAAATAAAGACTTGGGCTTGTTGAATTTTTATTCAAATAACCCAAAGTCCACTATAATAAATAAATCATAAAAAGTCGCGCTATGCTTGAAGTCCCATTCAAGATTTACCGACACAACAAATAATATATGCAATCATACATCACCAATTAATTAGAAAGACATACACACACATATTTCAATCAAATCTTGAAAAAGTAGAAACACAAATACACACACACATCTAAAAGAAGAGGCCTAATGGCTCGAACTTCTCACGGCTTACTTGGTCAATTTGGTGTTCCATCTCCGGGGTCAAGTAGGTCTTCCAATCCCCAACCTCACCTTTCCTAAAGAACAAACTATTTGGCACGTTGAAAATAGAACCACCACTATTTGGAATGTTGGAAAAAAGAGAACCACCCTTATTCACTTCCAAACCCTTGAGCCTTTCCAAACTGCAGCTCCACAACACTTCATCAATCTCCCTCCCATCCACAAATGGCCTCCCCAAGAACTCCGCAATCTCCGCAACACGTCCATTGGGATCACTCTTCAGCTCCTCGTACTTGACAAACATCACTTTACCCGGCCTTCTCCGACTCTCGACCCAATACTCGGCCACGTGATCGAAATACGGCCCATACAGATGAATTCCATTACAAAATCCATCGAGCGCTTCTTCTAGTGGGAATGGATTCTCGTTTGGCCTATAGACCTTGTTAAAGAAGTGCCACATCGAGATGAGGGTGTCCTTAGGGTTACGTGCAATGTACACGATTTTGCACGCGGAGTTCTTGACGGAGTCCGGGAGAACGGCGTAGGGAAGGTGTGTGTGGAGGAGATGAGGAGTTGACGTGTCGTAAACATCGACGGGTAGGTTTTTGGTCGCATATGTCATGGCTTCTATAGTGGGGACGTGGAAATGAGGGTTTTCGAGTGATAAAAGATGGTCGTGTGTGTTCTTGTGAAGGATGCATAGGGATAGGGCTTTGAGCCACGTCGTGCCCGTTTTCATGGTGGACGCGAGGAGGATGTCGTCATCTCGGGCCTGGAAATTTGAACGGAAGAAGATGGCCGGCTTCATGAGGCTGAGACGAAACCAATAGCCTTCCCACTGGGAGAGGTCCACGGCGTCCCAAAACCGTGCTTTAGGGAGATCGTGTAGCGGCTCGTCGTCATCGTTTGGTGAAGGGGATGATGGGTTTGAGTTTGACATAAATAAATATATATATGAAGATTGATATATGGTGTTTGAGAGATTATGTGAGAAGAATGAGGTCTGAGGCAAAGATTGTTTTAATTTATAGTGGCTGTTTAACATATAGTTCGAATAAGACATTAATAAAGTAGTTTTTATTTTAATCAATATTCAAAAATTTTATGGAGCAAAATAAATCAGCATCAGATGACACAGCAACACCTCATAAGAAATAATTTGCTGTCCCTGTCGATAATGACTCGCGAATTATTTTGTTTCCCCATACTATAGATAATAAAACTTAAATGTACCCATCACTATCAGTAAGGGGTCCCTGATTTATTTATCCATCTCCAATTTCATTTTTATTTTTCGGAAGCAAGTGAATGAAGGGTGTATATCACTTACCAATTAAATTAAACATTCCAATATATTTTGTGTTCCATATCTTCGTGACTTATCTTTATTCTAGCTATTGTTATGAAATATTTGTTATAAAATAATATATGTGAATGACTATTTTGTCTCTGAGTTAATTGTAATATAAAGTTGTGCCATTAGAAATTTTTCTACAAATAAGAGTTTTTTTTTAAAAAATGAAAATTATTACAATACTCGTGTAACACACGGGTGGTTGGTAAAATAATTAAATGTACAATAACAATATATATATATATATATATATATTGTAGAAGCTAGGAAAAATAAGTAAAACACAATATATAAAAATTATAACAAATAACTAAGTGAATTAACAATATTATTTTAAATTCTGAAAACTAATTTATATACATTATTACTTTTATTTATAATATTTCTTATTTAAAACACAGAAGAGAATAATATGAACAAAATACAAAATTTAAAAAGTGAAATTATATGCCCATTATAAAAAGAAGATAATAAATATGTTATATGAAATATTACAAAGCATAATATTGGAATAGCTTGAAGATGGATGAGAACCATNACACAATATATAAAAATTATAACAAATAACTAAGTGAATTAACAATATTATTTTAAATTCTGAAAACTAATTTATATACATTATTACTTTTATTTATAATGTTTTTATTTAAAACACATAAAGCATGCTGCACATGCATGGAATAAAATATAATTTTAGAAAAAAGGCAGATTGAACGTGTAAACAAATACGTGGGCCCCCTTTCAATGGATGACCAGCATCCAGATTAACGCGAAGGTTTTTAAACGGCAAAAAAAATTTGAGCGATGCGGATGCGCACAAAAGTGAAAAAAAACAGAAAAAATCATGATTAATGTGGATAGGAAACCTCCAAAACCATCATAATGCTACAACTAATCAATAATGAATGCGGTCCCACATATTTCAAAAGAGTAACAAAGTTGGAGATATGAACATATATTAATAAAAATAAATGCACAATTAAAACAAATTGATGATTAAATAAAAGCAACACCACACATTGTGTGCATGTGAATGTATTTTTTTAATGTTATTTAATGCTCGATTTATTTAAAGTAAATATTATTATTTCTTTATGCATATATTATTGAAATTAGTTTCTAATAATATGATAATCTTCGGTGAACAATAATTTTAATATAAGACCAATATTGATATTGTTTATTAAATTATATATATTCGTATTATGAAATGCTTAAATTATATATATTCGTATGAATTGATGCTTGTGAAATAAAAAATAAATATGTGTGGCTACATAGACCGGTCAGTACGGTTTTGCCGCTAGCAATTAATATTTGATAGTAGTCGACAAGTCAATTGTAGATCAAAATATTATGAACGGTTATGTAAAATGGCCGAGTATAACCACTGGCAACAGACAATAAAATTAAAGGCGTGATCGGCTAAATAGTCAATGTACTAATTAAATGATATTCAGTGATGTAGAATGGTCATGTGGTAAGACCATGTGTAACAAACAGTACATGTAAAAGGATATAAATGACTATCTGTACATGGGCCAGTCAACGCGGCTCAACCGTTAGCGATGGGCGATACTAATTAGTGATGGACAATGAGCAAAATGATGATACTTTGTATTTGGCCATATGAAAAATTGACTTTGTATTTGGCCATATGAAAAATTGACTAAAGTCCTGATCGAAAACAGATATTATATAGACTAACATGATTTTTGAAAAAATAGTGATAATGTAGGACCCCTTTCAATTTATGTGATTCTAGTATTATTATATTTCTGCTTGCTTGCATTTTCTTATCGTTTGCCTTGATTCCATTAATTCTTGCAATTATTTATTGTCATGTGCTCGTTTTGTTATGTGAATTCCTTTTTATTTATATGATGCTCTTGTACTTGCTATCTTATTTATTTGCAATCATCTTATTCATTGATTTTATTTCATTGCCCGCCTTCTTCTATTGTTTAATTACTCGTTTTGTGTAAATGCCTTTTATGGTTTAATCTCATTGCTCTTAGTTTATTATATGATTGATTTATTTCAATGTTTATGTGATTGGTTTAGTTTAGATATAGTTTTAGTTACTAGTTATCGTTCGACAATGTTTGGTTCAATCGCGTAGAACCGTTTAGATTCATTTTGATTCGTTTTCGAGTCATTTTTAATCTGAACCTCGAATATATATAATTGGCCGAAATTTATTATTATTTCGGTCCAACTGACCCCAAAAATCTGGCCCTTTTTCATTAGTTAGCTCGATCCATGCTTAAGTAATTTTTGGCACCTTCTTTTGATTTTGAAATTCAAACAAACTCAAGTCCTCATGTATGGAAACTCTTGGACCATATTTCCTCCCCTATTTACATGCTCCATCAGATCCCCCTCTTACTATGTGCTTTGATTAGCATTATGTAGCGCCCCAGTCGATTATAGAAGACATCTCGATTATTTAATTATTTATGCAGTTAGTTGCATTTAATTTTCTATGCTCGAAAAGTTCTTCAGAATTTATTTAGACGTTAATGTCTATTTAATCCGTTACGTAGATTATTTATTAGACGATTCAGTCTATTTAAAATATTCGAATTATCGAATAATTGTTAGCTATTCGATTTTATTTGATTTATTTTATCAGTAGCCGTCGAAGTCGTTTTAACCCAATTTCAGTTTCGTCAATATTTATCGTTTCTCAATTCCTTAGAATTTATCGAGACCCATAATTAGGCGTATTTTTTAGCCTTCTAAGCTTAATATATTCGACCCAAATTTGTGTACATCTCGGCCCAATTTGCAAAATTAGTTTGACCCAAGAATGTTGAATTTGCCCCAATATTTTTCTTCTCTCTTCGTCGCAGATCAGATATTCACGCTGCAAATGATCGATATCAGTCACCATCTTCCATCGTCCAAAGCCGTACGTAATCTCGTTTATCTCCGATTTCGATCGCAAAATCCGTCTGCCCTCCCGCAATAATTCACGTATAAACCATCACCTTGCTTCAATTTTTATTTACAGACTCTCACACGCATCAGAAAAGAGAACTTCGTAAATTCGCACCAAAAGCCGCTCGAGAAGCCATTCTTCTTCCTCAATCAACGGACAAGCAGACCCAGGCCCCCTTCGAGCCGAGGTCGACTTTCAACGACCGAGGGCACTCCCTATTCGATCTCAGCCCTTCATCGTTCAGCCCTATCGCCGAGCAACAGGAGAAGGATCGCGGGCCTTCTACCGTGAGTTCACATCCAGCAGTAGCCGCAGGTCGCCGAGTTTCATCTCAGGCCACCTGCACAGAGTCAATTCGAGCCGCCGACGTCAGAAGTTGAACCCGGAAATTCCCCAGCCCTCGCCGGTGAATCACAATCAGCCATAATAGCATTGAAATTGCTGTTGAAGTTCCATAAAATAACAATCAGCCATAATAGCATTGAAATTGCTGTTGAAGTTCCATAAAATATATTTTCATTGGAAATATCGTTTTCTTTTAGTGGTCATGATATGTTTCTATGTTTTTCATGACAAGCGCGCGCACACACACGCATATATATATATATATATATATATATATATTTAGAGAGAGAGATTGGTTCAAATGCAGGCGTGAGACTCATTCCTACACACAAGATTTAGGGGAGTGTATTTAATTAGGATTTTTAAGGATTTTTTAAGACTTTAGAAATCCTGGTGTATTCAATTTAGATTTGTTAAGACTTTTTAAAACTTTTGAAAATCCTGGGGTATTCAATTGGGATTTTCAAAAGTCTTACAAAATCATGAGTTATTTAATTTTTTTGACACTAGGATTTATTAAGACTTTTTAAGATTTTGTGGGATTTCTAAACAAAAAACCTTATATGAAATCCCACTTCAAATCCTACCTCCGGACTTGAGATTTCATAGAATTCTTCCAAAATCTGAAAATCCTAGAAAGTCTCAAATCTCGAAAAGTCTTAAAATGTCACTTAAATTCCGAATTGAATACACCCCCCTTAGATCTTGATTTAAATAATAATTCTTTATTTTGATTATTTATTTTTAATTACTTAAATATTATTATGACCATTGACCGTTGACTCCGGCGTTGACCGTTGACTTCCGGCGTTGCCCGTTGACTCCGGCGTTGGCCGTTGATCATTTGTCTTTTGTTGTTATGTTATTTCTTTCTTGCTGCTAGGTTAGTTGTGCTAGGTTNGGTTTTTTTTTTTTTTAAACAAACAACGCCCCGGGAGGGCGGGGGATTGGGCTGGATCCCCAACCTGTGCATAGATCAAGACCCCAAAGCGGGGGCCCAAAATATCAACAGTCTACAAGGTCACACAAGCAAAACAGATAAAAATAAAATACAAAGTCTGTCAACGGGCTAACAGGTGCCCGAAAATGAAAATGGGAATCTAATCAAATGATAATGTGCATTCCTACAAAGCCTAATGTGCAATTTCTCTAGCATTATCGTCCACTCTATTTAGTGGTATTTATTGTGTGCATTTTTATAAGAAAAAACTTTAATAATGTGTATATCAATCAACATTATTAATATTTTTGGTTGAAAAGGCATAATATATAAAAAAAAGAAAAAATTGATAATGTG